GACTTCACTTGAACCTTAACGCTGTCCATCACCATCTAGAGACGGCGAAGCCGGCCTTGCTCTTTTTAACCGAGACTACGGTGTCCTCTCCGGCTGATACTTCATATCTCTCCTACCCGGGGTACAAATTGGAACACTCCTTTGTGCCCCGGGCTGGAGTTTGCGTATACGTCAGAGAGGACATCTGTTTTCGACGCCTCGGCAGTCTTGAAGGTACGGACCTGTCCATCCTATGGCTGCGCGTAGACAGCGACGACCATCCCCGCGTCTACGGGTGCCTCTATACGTCCCATAGCGGTAATGCCGACACAGACTGACTCATCGACCACGTCCAAATGGCTGCAAAGTCCGTGCTACAACAGGTCCCATCCGCAGAGATCGTGATACTCGGTGATTTCAACGCCCACCACGCTGAATGGCTTGGTTCACGTTTAACCGATCATGTGGGTAGATCTGTCTATGACTTTGCTTTGGCATATGGTCTAACACAACTGGTTGCTTCGCCTACGCGGATCCCAGATGTGGAAGACCTTGTACCTTCCCTGTTGGACCTTCTGCTGACCTCTCATCCGGACGGATATCAGGTCTCTGTCGATGCCCCTCTGGGCTCTTCGGACCATTGTCTGATCCGAAGTACAGTGCCACTCACGCTCCAATCGCAGTTGCGATCTGCAGCTTGCCGCCTTGTTCGGCACTATAAGTCAGCTGATTAGGACGGGATGCGGTCTTTTTTTGCATCCTACCCTTGGGGGCGGGTTTGCTTCTCGCCGGAAGATCCCAGCGTTGCTGCCGATTCTATTGCTGATGTGGTACTTTAGGGTATGGAACTTTTTATTCCATCCTCTGTAGTGCCCATCAGAGGCAGATCCCAGCCATGGTTTGGTCGCTCCTGTAAAATAGCATCACGCTATAAGCGGGAGTGCTACCGGGCCTGGCCTGACGCATCAACGTCTCGGGATTTAAACACCAGCGCACTTAAAAAGAAGTATAATTCCGCCTCCAGGTCCTTCAAAAGTGTCATTGCCAAGGCAAGGTTTGAGCACATCGGCAGAATTGGCGAGAAGCTAGTTCGCCTTCCTTCGGGAACCCGTGCATTCTGGTCTCTCGCCAAGGCTGTCCAAGGGAACTTCTGTCAGCTATCTCTTCCATCTCTGCACAGAGAAGACGACTCACTAGCCCATGCCGCAAAGGAGAAAGCCGATCTGTTGAGCTCTCTTTTTGCGTCCAACTCGAGTCTAGATGACGGGGGGAACACACCGCCGACCATCCCGCGATGTGAGTGCTCTATGCCGGATGTGCAATTTACACAGCGCTCGGTTCGCAAAGCACTCTTCTCCCTGGACGTCAGCAAGTCGAGTGGGCGCGATGGAGTCCCTCCCATTGTGCTGAAGACGTGTGCACCGGTTTTAACGCGTCTTTTTCGGTACTCCAAGGCGTAGTCCCGAATTCATGGAAGACAGCTTTGGTCCACCCGATCCCTAAAAAAGGCGACCGCTCAGACCCATCCAACTACAGGCCTATCGCCATCACCTCCTTGTTCTCCAAAATAATGGAATCCATTATAAACTGCCAGCTCATGAGGTACCTTGAGGATCATCAGCTGATTAGTGACCTCCAGTACGGTTTTCGTCGGGGTCGATGAGCTGGTGATCTTCTAGTCTACTTAACTCAAAGATGGGCGGAGGCAGTAGAGTCCAAGGGGGAGGTATTGGCTGTTATTTTGGACATAGCGAAGGCCTTCGATCGGGTCTGGCACAAAGCGCTTCTTTCGAAGCTTCCTTCCTATGGGCTTCCCGAGAAATTGTGCAAATGGTATAAAAAAGTAGTATTATAGTATAAAAAAAATGGATCACCAGTTTCCTTGCTGATTGGAGCATCAAGGTCGTAGTGGACGGTGCATGCTCTGATTTCAAGCCTATCAACGCTGGTGTTCCACAAGGCTGCGTGCTATCACCAACGCTGTTTCTCCTACATATCAATGATATGTTGCAAACTCGTAGCATTCATTGCTATGCAAACGACAGCACTGGTGATGCCTTATATACCGGCCGTGCCAATATTTCTCGGGAAAACGTCGCCGAGTACCGGGACAAACTTGTGTCTGAAGTCGAGTCTTTGCTTAACAAAGTCTCGGATTGGGACCGACTAAATCTAGTCCAGTTCAATCCCCAGAAGACACAAGTTTGCGCGTTTACCGCTAAAAAGAACCCCTTTGTCGTATCTCCTCAGTTTCAAGGCACTCCCCTTGTTGCCTCAGCCAGTATCGGAATCCTTAACGTCGACATATCGAATAGTGTGCAGTTTCGTGGTCTCTTGGAAGGGAAGGCCAAATTGGCCTCTAAAAAGCTTGGCGTACTCAGCAGAGCGAGACGGTATTTCACGCCGGCACATCGCTTGCAAATTTACAAAGCGCAAGTTCGGCCCCACATGGAATATGGAATACAGTTCTCATCTCTGGGCCGGGGTACCCCAGTGCCAGCTCCTTCCACTTGACCGCATCCAGCGCAAAGCGGTTCGAATCGTCGACGGTCGAGTTCTTTCTGATCGGCTCGATACACTGGCACTACGTAGAGATGTCGCATCTCTTTGCGTATTTTATCGCATCTATCACGGGGTGTGCTCTGAGGAATTGTTCGGACTAATTCCAGCCGCTCAATTTCACCATCGCATATTGCGACAAAACTCGCGTTACCATCCATACCTTTTGGATGATTGGCGGTCCACCACTGTGCGATTTAGAAGAAGTTTTCTCCCTCGCACAACTTCCTTGTGGAATCAATTACCACCAGCGAATTTTCCGGGCCGATACGGCTTAGGAACCTTCAAGAAAGAGCTTACACCTTTCTAAAAGGCCGGCAACGCATTTGCGATTCCCCTGCTGTTGCGGTTGTTCATGGGCGGCGGTAGTCACTTACCATCAGGTGAGCCACATGCTCGTTTGCCACCTATTCGATAAAAAAAATACAACTGTGCACAAATTATCAGGGATGGTTATCATTCCGTCATTTATCGCGTAATCACCGTTGCCGATTTCAACTAGGAGATTCGCAAATCCACCAGCAGACTCTTTTTCTCCTAAGTGTACCCGCATATTTTTCGAGAGCTTGAGGATTTTAATTAGAGGCCATAAAGTGGATCTCATAAGTCACGCCTTAACTTTATCTGCTCTAGTTCCTTTTGGCACTACTGGTAGAGTCTGTCTAAAATCTCCAGCCAGCAAAACCGTTACACCAGCCACTAACTTCTTATTTCCTCTTATATCTTGTAGAGTTCTGTTTAAAGCCTCTACGCCACCCTTATGAGCCATGGTTATTTTATCCCACACTATCATTTTTGTATGTTTTAATACTTCAGCAAAATTACTTTGTTTCGATATATTACAAATGGGAGTATCAGTGGTTGTTAAATTGAGTGGTAACTTGAAGCTAGCATGAGCAGTTCCTCCACCCTGATGCAGTGTAGCTGCGATCCCAGAAGAAGCCACAGCCAAAGCGATTCCGCGAGTACTTCTAACTTTTGCTAATAGCAAATTTATGAGGAATGTTTTGCCTGTTCCATCGGGAGCATCTAAAAAGAATATTCCACCCATATTTGATTCAGTTTTAGTGTTAATCTGATTGTAAACTGCTTTTTGTCCGTGATTCAGTGATCCTTCATTATTTTAACTGTGTTTTCTAATGATGCTAAGTCGTAACTTGTCTCTTTAAGAAACTCTCTATTTTCAAATTTTTGTTCTATTTGCTTGGCTGGGGTAACTCATACTCTTTTAGTAGCCGACCACGCTAATTCGGCATCTTCTATTACCGAGAGGCATTTGTTAAATACCATATCTGTTATGTGCTCTACATTCACATCTCCCTGTCTTTCTAATGGCCTTTTCATCACACAAATCTTCAGATAGGTATTCTTTGAATTTCTCCCAAAGGCTTAAAGGGTCTGATACTTGGCAGAACACTAAAATAACCCTAAAAAGATCCAGAATCATTTACGGTGATTGGCAAAGTGCTGCTTCTTCCATTGTTGCGAACAAATACTGATCATCTTCAAGCAAGCCGAGAGCTTTGCACGCTGATTGGAACGTGGAATATACATGACCATCTACAGATTTTAACGCTTCAAACGAAATTGGGCCCAGATATCATGAAGAAGCATGCGAAGGTGATAGCGTTCTGTATTGTTCGGATGCACAGTATAAACCCTGCCCAGGATGTGCTCTTTTTGACCCCTGGCCAGCCTTCAACGTTTGCTCCTCTTTTTCTCCTTTGGAACTTTCTTTTATCCCAAACGTAGTATGCAGGTACTTCTAAGTAGAGCAATGTTTTTGCAAAGTTTACACAAATCGAAAAAGGATAGGAGTGTAGTTGTTGAAGGACTATTCACTCTTTCACTCAGATTTTGCTCATTAAAATAAACCCTTTGCCCATTTTCCAAATGAACAGCGAGGTGGACTACGGGACGGAAACGCTCATGAATGGGAAATTCAAGGATTCGCCATACTGCCTCTGATGCACTTATATATCTTCCACTTGTGTAGGTTTTAACTTCATCCTTCTCATTCTCTAAAGCATATGATACCTGATCTGAACCTTTATTTACGTATTTACAGACGTATTTTATTGATTTCACTGAATAACAATATTCTACATTTAAGTGAGCGTTAAATGTTTTTAATAATACTGGATTATACGGGACTGCCCAGCGATTATCTATGGTCGTGCCTTTGATATCAAGAGAGAACCCAAAGTCATCTAGTAAACGTCTCTTGTACTGCGGATAACCGTCTTCACCAGTTTGAGTTTCCCTTATGAGAGCCCTGGGGTATCGTTTGCTGCACATGTTATCTTTCGGTTTAAATTTCCACATGGACCATGTATCATATTACATTTAACGATTTCGTGAAGCTCTGGGTCACGATTGGGATCCGGTATTTCCCAAAGGGTAGGGATATAAATGAATATGAATATGTGAATACCTCTCTTTTTCCATTCCGTTGAGTACATTTAGCATCGCACTTCACCAAATATTTTGCCCTTTATCAATAAGTTCATGATCTTTTTCACCTTTAGTCGAAACACCTTCGAAATTATATCGTGGCTATCATGAGATTGTTGTCCTTGAAGCAATTGCTCTTTTATCTCGTCCCAACGAGGATTGCATGTGAAAGTGATAAAAAGATCAGGCCGGCCGTAATTCCTAACATAGGTCATAGCGTCATGTGTTCTTTCGTGCATATACCTAGGTCCCCCCGTAAAAGATGATGGAAGGACCCATCCTAGTTGGTTGGCTTCTACGTCTTGTCGTTCAATAGCATCTTTTAAATAGATGTAACTATCAGCACGTAGTTTGGCTTGATTATTTTTGATATAATTTAATCTCTCTTTTTCTATTTTCGCGTATTCATCCACCAAATATTGACTAAAAAGGGCACGATAGTTGACTAGATAGTTATCTTCTTCTTCTTTAATCATTATTCTATACGAATAGAAACTTGCAGAAGAGACGGCAACTTAGTTGTGGGATCGCGTTGTGGTATGTTGATTGAATACCCATCATCCCCCCCAGCAAAACATCAATGGATACTGTAGTGCATCATATGCTCGATGAGTGAGATACTCACTAATACGCTGAAGTGAATTACTTCCACTCCCGAGGATGATGTCTCTTCGATCAAATTGTTGATCCACTAACACTAAAGCCACTTCATTTGTAGTTGGTGCATTGTACCTGTATGTGTACCTCTATGTTCTTCTGGTTGTTTTTTATCAGCATGTATGACAACTTTGTATGACTCTGAAGGAGGGGCTTTATCAATGGCACTTTTCAGATTTTTTATATACGGGTTCATTTAATGCAGCATATTCTGCAATTGTTTCATTAAATTTGGCTTTTAGTTAGGAAATTTAGAACATCGAATCTTTGCTTCTCGATCATCTTCACCTACAAAATATATTTAAAGTTACTGAGGGTCATGTTCGGCTTCTGGTAATATACTTCCAATTAAATGGTAGACCTGGCCTTGTACTTTAAAAGTCGGTGAAAAATCATCTGCTGCTTACCACCAAAGGAAGTCATCTGGAAACACGCATTATATTTACGAATATTACCCATAAAATGGTCATGATCTGGATGTAAATCAATAATCAAACTAAAGAGTGGTTCAGACAGTTGTTTCAACCGATTAAGTTGCACTTTTCCAGCGCTGCAACACATACCAGGTGTCTCATCCTTCCATTTCAGCGCATTGCACCACTGACACTTGTATGTCATAGAATACAAGGCTACACTGCTGTCAATTCTATAAGCAATATCAGGGTCATGGTGGACCTTGTTTTTCCATAAACGCAGTGTAATGTTTTCCTCATACCGTGCCTGAATTGCTCTATGCTCTTGTAGATTCGCAGTTTGGTAATTTGCAACAGCTTACCTGTGTACATCGGGATTTTTTTTCTGATAAGCGGACACAGCTTTACGACTTGAGTCTGGCTTGTTCTGCCTATATCTTTATTTTGCACTTTTTAATTTACTTTTTCTTGCGTAATTAGTAAAACTTGACCTTCGTTTATTTTTCTTTTTGTCATATTTTAATGTCACCGATACAGACTGATATGTTCCGCTGGTTGAAGATGATATTTCACTGTTTACAAAAGATGTAACAGTTAAATGGTCAAGCTCTGAGAAAGGATCACGCTCTTCGACAGGTATCTTCATGCGACGCTGTGTAATTTTCTTCGCAACAATAAGCAAATAGGCGTCAAAATGTGCATTAGATAAATCATGGCTAAATCCTAATCGCCTTACTGGACAGATATCTGATCCGGACTCTGTGTATAGCAGATCGTTTCGATATAGTTCAAAACTTTGTGAATTGGTAGCTGCAGGATTAACGGAAATATTAATCCTGCAGCTAACAATTCACAAAGTCCACCGTAAGTTTCATTTTTTAACATATCGGCTGAATATTCATTTGTTGTTGAATAATTATCGCCATTTCTGTCGTGGGTCATAACTGAAAACCTAGGCCAATCATTTGCCACAAATCTATCAATTTGTGAACGCACCACCATTGTATTTTCTTGGGTTCCGTACATTAAAAATCTTAAACCGTAAGCAAGCAAACAAAGTCCAAGTCTAGTTAAATATCCGTTAACAGTAAATAGGTATCGTATGTGGTACATTCACCATTCACTTTATATTAATTCGAAAAAATACAACGTTACCGCGTTCTAAAACGATGCCAACGCCATCGCATACGTGATGGTAGGGATTGGAACTTGAAGATCAATACAAAATAGGTAGGTACCTGAGTATTTCTTTTGGTTTTGCCATTTTATTAATTTGTAAAAAAATATATTTGGTTTGGTTGTTTATTTTCATTGTTTTTTAATTTCTAAATTAGTATTGTTACGAGCTTGGGGTTCGAGACCAATAAAAAACTGCCTAGTCATTTACCAAAACCGATACTTTAATTACAGAGCACTAATTACAACTTAAATCAGGTGGTATTCCGGTGATAAGGCAGCCGTAATTCTCTCCCAACGTTTGCGAAAGCTGGTGTCACTGATGTACTTTCGTGAACAACAATTCGATATGACAACAAGAACGGTTGTATGTGCCTGTCCCTGTCTCGTTTCCGTTATTCCACAACTTTTGCTAGGTACCTCTCCATTGTCTGATTAAATCATTCTACCATTCCATCAGATTGTGGGTGGTAAGAAGTTGTTCTTGTTTTATAAGTACCCATAACTTGGCAAGTTTCCTGAAATATTTGAGACTCAAAATACCTTCATTGATCGCTGTGAATCTCTAAAGGTACTCCAAAACGACAGAAGACTTAATGAACTTGTTTATCTGCAACTGTTGAAGTTTCTTGATTTGGAATGGTGAAGACTTCTGGTCACTTAGTGAAGTAATCCATCACAACCATGAAATACTTTTCTACCATTTTCACTTTCCGGAAACGGCCCCGCAACGTCAATACGTTGCGGGGCCGTTTCCGTTCATGTCATCAATTCTTGGCAAGGGATAGCTGTCCTTCTTCGTAACGTCGTTCAGACGGCGGTAGTCAACACAAAACCGCATGCTGCCGTCCTTCTTCTTTACCAGCACCATAGGTGAACACCATGGACTAGATGAAGGTTCAATAACACCATCCTTCGTTATTCCCTCAATCATGGTTTCCACTTCCTTTTAACGTGCTACAGACAATCTTCTTGGCCGCTGACGGATAGGCAATTCTTCTCCTGTGTTCATTTTGTGTTGAACTAAGCCAGTCTTTCCTATGTTAGCATCGTTTTACGAGAAAACATCGGCGTACTTGAGTAACAACTTCTTCGCCTTGACAATTTCATTCGGGGAGAGAACGCTGCGACAGTCTTCTAAAAGTGTGGTCACTCTCGTTTTTCCATCCTTGCTGGGGGTTCCAGTTGATAGATATTGCCACCAAAGCAACCAATCCACTTCCTCACTATGACATTATGCAGGTAGATCATGTTGCCTAGCTTCAACTCCATCTCCTTCTCTCCACGGACGGGTATGCCCTAACCGGTCACCAAGTTAATGCATTCTCCGTTGTATGCGGAGTCCCCAAGGAACTGACTTATAAGTTCGGAACTGACAACCGTGCGAGAGGCTCCAGTGTCTATGGTCAGTTTATACGGCGTTCCGTTGACGTCACCCTTGATAATTAGGCTGTTCCCATCATGGGTTTGTGAGATCGAAATCCTTGGGGCTCTTTTAACATCAGCCAGCACCCGCCCCGCAGTTCTTGCTTTTACTCGTTTCCCTGCTGCAGCTGGGCAGCGCTGTTAGCCGCACTTACCCTCTCGAGATCGATCACCTTCCCTTTCTACAGTTTGCTGAGGGCAGCTGGATCGAAGATGGCCCCTTTCCCCACTGCCGTAGCACCTACGGCTGTATCCTTTATTGCGGTCGCGAACTGCTGCAACCCCCCTGACGCAATAGAAATGATGATCCTGTCGCACGGCTTCCAACTCCAGTGCATGGGCCAACGCTTCCTTAAGCGTCTCGTAGTGGCCAAGCCTCACAGCACTTCTGACTTCAAGGTCGCGGATGCCGTCGATGAATGTCTGCACCAGGTTCCCCAGAATGAGCGCAGGTACAGACTAGTACGCTTTTCGAACCAGCTTCTCCACCTCAAAGACCCACTGCTGCAGGTTTTCGTTGCTGCATTGCACGCGATCTTTGAGCTGCGCACGAAAGACATGTTTCAGGTGAGCGTCGCCATATCTCGCCTCCAATGCCTCGAAGAGCTGCTCGTAAGTCACTTCCTTACCGAGAGCTTCCAGAACAGTTAAAACAGTCACGCAGGCCTAGGGTAAGAGCAGTCATGGCCTGACTTTTATTCCAGTCGTTCGCCTTCATGACAGCCTCAAACTGGATTTTATAGGCCGACCAGCAAGAAGTCCCGTTGAACGGCGGCACTTTGAATCCACGTAGCGAAGGTGTTGTAGCTACCACGGGAGCTGTAATTCCATCCCCAAGTTTGAGGTCGTCCAGCGTTTTCTTCATGTCAGCCATTACTTTGTCAACCCGATTGTTCACTTGGTTGATTCGGGTTTCAGCTTCCGGCAGTCGGTTGTTATGTCGAGCAACCCCATCCTTTACCGCCCTTATCTCTGTCCCGCAGGTAGCGTGAAGGTCCTTCATGAGAAGCTTCTGCTCTTCCATATCGCTGCAGCTGCTCTTCCAACCGACGGGCCTGTTCCTCCTGTGGGCGGGCCTGTTCCTCCTGTTGGCGGGTCTGTTCCTCCTGTCGGCGGGCCTGCTCCTGCAGCATCATCATTAAACCATCTAAGTCAGGTGTTTTCAAAGTTTTCCACCTTTTAGGAGTTGAATTCTGAAAGAGCCTGAAACACTTGTTTACTCATTTATTGACAGGAGTACTCCTGTAAAGTTTCGAATAAAATAGTTTAACTAATCTTGTTTCAACAAATTTTCAATCCCCTTTTCACCCCTTAGGAGTTGATTTTCAAAAACCCTAAGATACATAATTGTTTATTTCTAATTGTTAACCTAAATACAACGTTTTAGGCTTCTAGCTCTAAAAATGACGGACTTCCATACTACAAGCTTTAAACCCCTTTCTCACCTCTTTAGGGGGTTAATTTTCAAAAATTTTGCGTTGATAGATGAGTTAGTCAGGTTTGCCTTTTATATATATAGAATAATAAAGAAGAAGATTCTTTCATCTGTACCTGAAAAGTATAAAGTAATAATAAACTTATTATCATTTTAGCTACATGAATTTTAAATATACAATGATCTTAACAGAGTAAAGTGCACCAAGTGTCTGACGATACAGATCCATTCTCTATTCTCTCAATCTCGGTATGTTAAGAAAATGGTTACACTTAATCTCGCAGATCTATTGATCCACGCAGCTATTACTCAACCACGAGTTCCTCTTGTCTGCGACTAATGCTGTAGGCGATGAACGACGCTATTTAAGCCCTCGGCACAATGTCGTCGGGCATCAAGCATGAATCGCGCATAGAGCGTTGCGAGTATCAAATACTATGGAATTTATACTATCTTGGTTCCTGGCACATTAAACCGCGCGTCTAATGCGCGGGCGTCTAGTAGCGCTTCAAGAGCATTACTAAATATATTATATCTAACCAAGCTAAAAGTTTTATATAATGATTCCTTATATTTACGTGAACACTACACATTTAAATAAAACTAGTTTTACGGATTTTATCGCGTATATTAACTTATTTTAATTTCCGACGTATCGAGTACTTTACAGTACCCATGGTGACGCCAGTAACGTGGGTTTCTTCGATAAAGATTTGTGGACTGTATTGGTACATACAACAAGCATAGCAAGGAAAGTGGATGAGAGTGGAATGCACGCACTAACCTTGTGAGAGACTGCCTCGCTTTCCTCCCGGAGTATCAGCTAACACAGCAGCTTCGCCACGTGAATCTGCGCACGCACTCTTAGATCATTTCTAGGATGTCACATACTCCTTAACTCTCAACTTATTGTTATTAAAGAGTAGATCAAAGGACGCAATGTCCTTCGTGCGGTCGCGGTTATTAATCGATTACAACTAATTGCTGCTGCGTGGCGCTTGCGTCGCCTTCAACGGCTATACGTGCATATAGGAAGGATTAGGGAAGGGAGGGGCTAAAGATATGTATCAAGTATTCTATTAGATTTATACATTAAGTTGTTACCTGGCGTTACCATTTCCTCACGCCGTTAAAGGGTCCTTTAAGGGGAAAATACAACTTTCCGATCTGATTCTTGGGGAATTTTTTTAAGTTTATCGGAATAGAATAGAATAGAATAGAATAGAATGATTTTTATTCAATATGGATTATTACATAATACTTATTGAAAGTCATTATTTTATTTACCACTGGTTCGGAAAATACCTCTGTCCTGGGAAGAACCAGCAAGAAACCCAGCGGGACTTTTTTTTTAAACATAATTTCACTTAACAATAATTTTGTTTATACAATTTTAAATGAATTTTCATAGAACCAGCATGGTGGCGATCACCTTATTCCCAGGGGTTATTTTCATTCATGTATTCCTTGATATTGTTACGAGCTTGGGGTTCGAGACAATTAAAAACTGCCGATTGAATTACCAAAATTGACACTTTAATTACACAACACTAATTACAATCTAAAATCACACTAATAATAAAACACAGTTCGCCGTTATTTCGCTTCGAAGTATTCTCTTGTATCGCCAATTCAATACTCCTCGGTCGTGGTCTATACCGGCCTTATATAGGGCCTCAGATAGTTTCCAGAATCTTCTACTGTAGCGACATCTAGAATGTTCGAGTACATATCGGTCCCGAAATTTCTGGAAAGATCTTGACTCTCCTAGTTCTGCTACTCGACACTAGAGGGCGCTAGTGTAACTAGTGTTGCCAAGTACAAGACATTAATAGTGGCGCGCAACACTTTCATTTACTCGAAACTAGGGGGCGCTAGTGTAACTAGTGTTGCCATGTACAAGACATTAATAGTGGGCGCAACACTGCCCCCTCCTAAGACATGCTCGTCCCGAGCATTATTGGCCCCATAATAACGCGCCAGTCGATCCACATGGACAATCTTAGGAGTACCTCTGGCACCTTTCTGTATCCGGTAGGTTACATCATTGATCCTTGTCACAATCCGGTACGGTCCGTCCCATTTAGCTTGAAGCTTAGGAGATTTCCCTTTGCTGCGAACTGGATTGTGTAACCACACTAGTGAACCTTCATCAAACCCCTTGTTGTTCATTTTGCAGTCATACCGTGTTTTCATCTTCTCAGACGTTTGCTGGCCCGTCTGTCTGACGTGCTCATAAATGTCATTCATTTTGTTCCGCAAGTCATTTGCATAATCGGTTCTACTGCGTGGGGCATCAGGTGGTATTCCGGTGATCAGGTCTGCAGGCAGCCGCAATTCTCTCCCAAAGTTTGTGGAAGCTGGTGTCACTGATGTACTTTCGTGAACAGCGCTTCGATATGACAACAAAAACGGTTGTATGTGCCTGTCCCAGTCTCGTTGCCGTTTTTCCACAACTTTTGCTAGGTACCTCTCCAATGTCTGATTAAATCTTTCTACCATTCCATCAGATTGTGGGTGGTAAGAAGTTGTTCGTGTTTTCTGAGTACCCATAACTCGGCAAGTTTCCTGGAATATTTGAGACTCAAAATTCCTTCCTTGATCGCTGTGAATCTCTAAAGGTACTCCAAAACGACAGAAGACTTCATGAACTAGTTTATCTGCAACTGTTGAAGCTTCTTGATTTGGAATGGCGAAGACTTCTGGCCACTTAGTACAGTAATCCATCACAACCATGAAATACTTGTTACCACATTCAGTTTCTGGAAACGGCCCCGCAACGTCAATGGCTATCCTCTCCCATGGTGCACCAACATTGTACAATTTCAATGCGCCTCTACTACGAATCTGAGGTCCCTTTACAGCCGCACAACTTGTACATTTGCGGCACCAGTTCTCGACATCGTCACGACAGTGGACCCAGTAAAACCGTTCTCGGATCTTCAGGAGAGTTCGTTTAACTCCCAGGTGGCCTCCTGAACAACCACTATGGTACAGCTGTAGAATATCCGGCACTTTAGCCTTAGGGACAACCATTTGCAAATGACACCTGTCTCCCCGACCATTTTCCCATTTACGGCACAGGACTCCATCCTGAATCGGCAAGCTGTCCCATTTTGCCCAATAGCTTTTCGTGGTCGAACTCATTGCTGAGACGTCGCTCCACTTGGGCTTAGGAGCACTGGCCTTCATCCATTCCAGAATCGGCTTAATGTCCGAATCTTCCTGCTGTGCATGTTGTAGCCTGTCCTTCCACTCATTGCTGAGCTGGTCTTTACTGAGCATTCTCACAGATACCACTTCCTTACCCTCTTGCCTAGCACAATGCTTGCAATCTTCAGGGCAAGGTCTTCTTGACAATGCATCTGCATTGCCATGAGATTTCCCGCTGTGATTATCGATCACAAAGTCGTATTCCTGCAGTAGTTCAATCCATCTCGCAACTTGTCCTTCCGGATTTTTGAACTGCAATAGCCATTTCAGTGCAGCATGGTCAGTTCGTAAAGTGGAATTTCCGCCCTAGAAGATATTTGCAAAAATGCTGCAAGGACTTTACCACAGCAAGCAATTCCCGTCTTGTGACACAATAGTTCCTTTCCGGCTTTGACAATGACTTGCTGATGTACGCTATCACAATCTCTTGATCACCATTCCGTTGAGACAACACACCGCCAAGTCCTATATCACTTGCGTCTGTGTCAACTATGAATTCCTTGCCCGCATCAGGGTACCCCAAAATAGGTGTTTTGCACAGACGGTTCTTGAGCTCCTGGAATGCAATATCACAACTTTCATCCCAGCAGAAATGTCGCTTCTCCTCGGTTAGCTTGTGCAGAGGTTTGGCTATATCTGCAAAGTTCTTCACAAATCGCCGATAATAAGAGCACAAACCCAAAAATGCTCTAACCTGTGTCTTGTCTTTTGGAACCGGCCACTCCTTGACAGCGGCAATTTTTTCTGGATCCGTGCGGATACCTTCTTCCGACACTACATACCCCAAAAAACTAACTTGCCGTTTGAATAGTGAGCACTTCTTTGGACTCAACTTGAGGTTGGCACTCTGGATCTTCATGAGCACGCGTTCCAGGTTTTGAAAGTGTTCCTCAAACGAACGGCCTACGATGATGATGTCATCCAAATAGACCAGACAGGCATCTCCAATTAGTCCGGTAAGTACAAGCTCCATCAACCTTTCAAACGTTGCTGGAGCATTGCACAATCCAAACGGCATGACTTTAAATTGCCACAGACCCTTTCCTGTGGAGAATGTCCTTAGGGTCAATTTCAACCTGCCAGTAGCCACTTTTCAGATCCAGCGTACTAAACCACTTTACGCCTGTAAGCATGTCCAGCGTGTCATCAATTCTTGGCAAGGGATAGCTGTCCTTCTTTGTAACGTCGTTCAGGCGGCGGTAGTCAACACAAAACCGCATGTTGCCGTCCTTCTTCTTTACCAGCACCACAGGTGAACACCATGGACTAGATGAAGGTTCAATAACACCATCCTTCACCATTCCCTCAATCATGGTTTCCACTTCCTTTTCACGTGCTACAGGCAATCTTCTTGGCCGCTGACGAATAGACAATTCTTGTCCTGTGTTTATTTTGTGTTGAACTAAGCCAGTCTTTCCTATGTCAGCTTCGTTTGACGAGAAAACATTGGCGTACTTGAGTAACAACTTCTTCGCCTTGACCATTTCATTCGGGGAGAGAACGCTGCGACAGTCTTCTAAAAGTGTGGTCACTCTCGTTTCTCCATCCTTGCTAGGGGTCCCGGTCGATAGATATTCGCACCGACGCAACCAATCCACTTCCTCACTAGTACCAACCAATGTGCCTTTTTCTATAATCTGTTCCTGATCACAAAGGTTCAACACACGTACTCCTGAGATGTCGGTGGTTCTGACCAAGGTTCGAGCCACTTTCCATGGAAGATCATTGTCTACCCTTTCCACGACTACACAACGATGAGCTTGCCCAGGACTCCGAGGAAAACTAACCGGCACAATCGTTTCCAATCTCGGCGGAAGAACAATCTTCTTAAGGCTGTACACATTCCCTGGTAACGCCCCTTCCATGAAAAGTTCCTCTTATCCACATTTCAAAACACCTTGCTTAACGTCGATCTCACAACAATTCTTCCTCATAAAGTCTAGGCCCAGGATGCAGACGTCCATTATATCAGCCACGATGACATTATGCAGGTAGATCATGTTGCCTAGCTTCAACTCCATCTCCATCTCTCCACGGACGGGTATGCGCTGACCAGTGGCTGTCACCAAATTAATGCGTTCTCGGTTGTATGCGGAGTCCCCAAGGAACCGACTTATAAGTTGGGAACTGACAACCGTGCGAGAGGCTCCAGTGTCTATGGTCAGTTTAGACGGCGTTCCGTTGACTTCGCCCTTGATGATTAGGCTGTTCCCATCATGGGTTTGTGAGATCGAAATCCTTGGGGCTCTTTTAGCATCAGCCAGCACCCGCCCCGCAGTCCTGGCTTTTACTCGTTTCCCTGCTGCTGCTGGGCGGTGCTATTAGCCGCACTACCCTCTCGAGATCGATCACCTTCCCTTTCTACAGTTCGCTTAGGGCAGCTGGATCGAAGATGGCCCCTTTCCCCACATCTGTAGAACCTAGGGCTGTAGCTTTTATTGCGGTCCTGAACTGTAGCTGCTGCAACCTCCCTGACGCGGTGGGAACGATGATCCTGCCGCACGGCTTCCACCTCCAGTGCATGGGTCAAGGCGTCCTTAAGCGTCTCGTGGTGCCCGAGCCTAACAGCAGCTCTGACTTCAAGGCCGCGGATGCCGTCGATGAATGTCTGCACCAGATTCCCTACAATAAGCGCAGGTACAGACTGGTACGCTTTTCGAACCAGCTTCTCCACCTCAAGGGCCCACTGCTGCAGGTTTTCGTTACTGCGTTGCACGCGATCTTTGAGCTGCGCACGAAAGACGTGTTCCAGGTGAGCGTCACCATATCTCGCCTCCAATGCCTCAAGGAGCTGCTCGTAAGTCACTTCCTTACCGAGAGCTTCCAGAACAGTTAAGGCCTGGTCGCGCAGGCCTAGGGTGAGAGCAGTCATGGCCTGACTTTTATTCAAGCCGTTCGCTTTCATGACAGCCTCAAACTGGATTTTGTAGGCCGACCAGGGAGAAGTCTCATCGAACGGTGGCACTTTGAATCCACGTAGCGAAGGTGTTGTAGCTACCACGGAAGCTGTAACTCCATCCCCAATTTTAAGGTCGTTCAGCGTTTTCTTCACGTCAGCCATCACATTACACTTGTACACTTGGTCAATTCGGGTTTCAGCTTCCGACAGGCGGTTGTCATATTGAGCAACCTTATCCTTCACCTCACTTATTTCTTTCCCGAAGGTAGCGTGAAGGTCCTTCATGAGAAGTATCTGCTCTTCCTTATCGCGTTTGAGCTGCTCTTCCAACCGACGGCCCTGTTCCTCCTGTTGGCGGGCTTGTTCCTCCTGTCCGCGCTGCAGCTGCTCTTCCAACCGACAAGCCTGTTCCTCCTGTCGGCGGGCCTGTTCCTCCTGTCGGCGGGCCTGTTCCTCCTGTCGGCGAGCTTGTTCCTGCAGCATCATCATCAGAGTACCTAAGTCAGGTGCTGCAGATGCAGGAGCTGCTGACGGGCCGGCCTCCGTGGTCGGCAACTGGCCTGCCGACGTCTGTGACGTTGCACCACCAAATCGTCTCTGGTCCGTCTCCTGTTGACGTTGACTTCGGGTACGGATACCCTCGGTGTCGTCTTTAGGTAAGATCGGCATATTTGATCCCACTTCTGACACCAATTGTTACGAGCTTGGGGTTCGAGACAATTAAAAACTGCCGATTGAATTACCAAAATTGACACTTTATTTACACAACACTAATTACAATCTAAAATCACACTAATAATAAAACACAGTTCGCTGTTATTTCGCTTCGAAGTATTCTCTTGTATCGCCAATTCAATACTCCTCGGTCGTGGTCTATACCGGCCTTATATAGGGCCTCAGATAGTTTCCAGAATCTTCTACTGTAGCGACATCTAGAATGTTCGAGTACATATCGGTCCCGAAATTTCTGGAAAGATCTTGACTCTCCTAGTTCTGCTACTCGACACTAGAGGGCGCTAGTGTAACTAGTGTTGCCATGTACAAGACATTAATAGTGGCGCGCAACACTTTCATTTACTCGAAACTAGGGGGCGCTAGTGTAACTAGTGTTGCCATGTACAAGACATTAATAGTGGCGCGCAACAATATTATAATAACCCTTTTTGTACACTTTTTCTTTAATAAAACTTTTAAACTTGTTTATTGACAAACTTTGAACATGTTCTGGGATTCTGTTGTAAAAGCGTATACATTGCCCCATAAATGAATTACTAATTCTGTGGAGTCTTGTAAGTAGCATTACAAGCTTATGTTTGTTCCTAGTGTTTAAGGTATGAACATCCTTATTCTTATTAAAGCTATTTATGTTTTTATGTACATACATTACATTTTCAGAAATATATTGCGATGCCAAAGTTAATATGTTTATTTCTTTAAATTTTTCTCTAAGGGACTCTTTACAATTTAGATTATAAGTCGGTAGAGTCACCTGGGATTTTTTACATTTGAATTAAAATCCAACAAAACGCAGTTAGGTTCTGCTTATTCCCAGAAACATGTTATATGAATATTTTATTTTTTAATGATTTTAGAACTATCATGTAAAAATTCAGTAAATTTTTGAAGTTTTTCAATTTCGTAAGAATCATTTTTTGATAGTCCATGTAAGTAAAATGTACATCACTAGCTAACGCACACAATGACAAATCAAAATTAGTCACGCACGCGTTTTCGGTCTGTCATACACCAGTATATTATTCTAAGTCTATGATTGTAATCATGCCGTGTAGTTTTCTAATAAAGAAATAAATTATAATTTTCGGTGCTATATAATATTTTTTGTACTATTATTTATTCTGTGATAATATAACAGACAATAACATAGATACGTCACAATATAGTGTCTAGTTTATCTAAATTAGAAATTGCTAGGAGAAGCGCGGGAACCTTGAAACGTGATAGGCGCCTTTTTTTAAACTAAAATTTTAATTTTGTTTTGTTTAGTTAAAAGGCACAAAACTGTTATTGTTTTATTGTTACTGGGTTTCCTCATCATGGGGAAACGTAGAAAAAAAAGAAGTTCTCAATTTTTACTATAAATCACAGGTACAAAGATTGCCAAGTCTCTTTAGATAAAGCGATATGCATACATTGCAAAGGAAACCATCTAAGCATTTCCGGAAAGTATCCTGTTAAGAAACAAAAGATAAAATAAAATCAGGCTAAATTACACAAAACCCCGTTTGTAGACCTCTTTAATAAAAACGAATTCCCCGAATTAAACAAATAAAATCCTAAAGATGCTCTTATGTCACTGCTACGTAAAGAATGATGACATTATTAATATAATTTTAAATACAGTCATTAAAGTATTAACTCTTAATAAATCTAATGAACAAACCACCACATCTTCTCCGCTTGTTAAAGATGTTCTCATAGATACAATGAAACCAAAATAGATATTTCATTATTTAACATGTAATATTTTATGGATCAGTTTAACATTTTACAATGGAATGCACAGAGTTTAATTAAAAATCACTTTCAATTTACACAATTTTTATATGAGAACACTATAGATGTTGCTCTCATATGTGAAACTTGGCTTAAAGCTTAAACCTAGGCACAATATTAGAGTAAAAGGTTATAATATTATACGATTAGATTCAGGTAATGATCATAATGGAGTAGCAATACTTGTACATAACAAAATTAGATTTCGTGTTATCAATACATTCTCTGATGACTCATTACAAAATATAGCTGTACAAATACAAAATAATGATAAATTATTAACTTTAGTTAGTGTTTACTGTCCCCCTAATTCACCAATTAATTATAATAAATCGAAATTAGATAATTTAAAAAGTTTGCCACAGCTAGTCTTTATAGATGGTGATTTCATCGCCCATCACACGTTATGGGGATGTACTGAATTGGATTCACGAGGTAGGGATGTTCTTGCAAGTATAGATGACAACAATCTTGTAATCTTGAATGATGGTCAGATGACTACAATAGGATCTCATACATGGAGGCAGAATGCATTAGACTTGACACTTGTTTCATCTTCA